CTGCTGCACAACATTTCCCTTTGGGATAATAACTTCTGTATTATCTTAAACTTTTCCATATAGGCTCTGATCTAAACTCAGCAACCTGCGCTCTAAGCTCCACTTTCACTTTGATGTGTGTTGAGTTTGACCATCACTGGAACATTTCCCTGTTCTGTTAAAATCTGGCTTTAAGGACGTCCCCCCGCCCGGCCTCCAAAGCCCCCCTGGCTCTACAGCTCATCAATTTACAGCATTACAAACAAGCGCACGGATCCAAGTGGAGTTTAGCAGCATAAATTAGCTCAGCATCTGTCTCAGTCCTCCCCCTGGATCTACCTACTGAGATTACATCCACGTCTGTTAATGTCGTTTTAATAGCAGCCCATTTCATGATCCATTGCACTGATACAAAGTGTTATGATATTTGTGAGAGAAAAAGATCTCCTCAAAGCCCTTTAATTCTGCTGTTGGCAATTTCAGATGGCAGAGAAGCTGCATTCCTGACGCCATTTTTTTTATTTCTCTTTTTACGCAGAATAACTAACCAAACAAAGACTCTCATCTCATGTTCCCAGCGGGACGACACTCGAGTTCACAAACCTGCAATCCTGCAGATTCCCCTCCAAATCTGACCCAGCGGATCGCAGTGGAAAAATGTAGAGCAGAAAGGCTGACAGAGACCGACTGTCTTCTCTTCTGCTGATCACATTACTGTCTCTGGGAATTTGCCTTTTAACAGCACACATGTATATCTGTTCTTATTTGGTGACACAGCCCAGAAGAAAGAGCTGGCATTATATGTTCCTGCAAACTAAGAGCATGTTGCATTTGTAATTTCATACCCAACATATCGATGTTTTTAAAATGATGTAGTTTATATCATCAGGAGGAGTAGGTACGTATGACCCCTCGGTGAGACACCTGCCAAGCTGCAGACCACTGTTTGAAACTAACAACAAAACTGTTTGTGTTTTACCGAGACGCTGTTGCATTTCCTGAAGGGATAGTTCCACAAACAGCAGTTGTTTTTTCCAAGACATCGCTGCATTTCCAGCCACAGTCCCATGTAAAGTGTTTATTTTGACCAAAACATGGCAGTGTCTAGAGCCATCAAAAGTGGTTGATTTTACCAGACATGGCTGTGTTTCCAGCCCTGACAGTTATAAATAAATAGCGGTTGTTTTTTACCAAGGCAATGCTGCATTTCCAGCCGTGATAGTGCCAAGAAAGTTTACCGTAACATTGCTTTGTTTCCAGCCAAGGAAGTCCCACATAAAGTGGTTGTTTTTACCGGGACATTGCTGTATTTCCAGCCGCAATAATCCTATAAAAAGCTACTTTTTTATTGAGACATCACTACACATCCAGCCAGATTAGTGCCACGAATATCAGCTGCTTTTACTGAGACATCGCTGCATTTCCAGCCACAACAGTGCTGTGAAACGCAATTGATTTTACCTAAACATTGCTCTGTTTCCATTTGGGATAGTTCCACAAAATCTGTTGTTTTTCCCACGACATCACTGGGTTTCCTGCCATGAAAGAGGTTGATTTTACGAAAACACTGCTATGTTTCCAACCAGGATAATGCCACAAATCGCAGTTGCTTTTACCAAGACATCACTGCATTTCAAGCCAGGATTGTGCCACGAAAAGTGGTCTTCTTTACAGAGACATCTTTTTGTTTCTAGCCATGATAGTTCCATGAAAAGTGGTTGCTTTTACAGAAGCATCACTGCGTTTGCAGCTGTGATAATGCCACGAAAAGTGGTTTTTAACCGAGACATCACTGCATTTCCAGCAAGGAAGTGAGGAAAAGACATCACTGCGGTACATAGCATCACAGTCCCAATAGCGCAATGAAAGGCAACTTATTTTACCAAAACATTGCTGTGTTTCCAGTTGGGATAGTTCCACAAGAAACAGTTGTTGTTACCAAGACATCACTGCATTTCCAGCCAAGATATTTCCACAAAAAGTGGTTGTTTTTAACAGAGACATTACTGAATTTCCATCCACAATAGTCTGATAAAAAGCAGTTGTTTTCACCAAGACATCACTGTGGTTCCTAGTGGGGTGGTGGCATGAATAGTGGTTATGTTTTACTGAGGCACTGCTGCATTTACTTTACTTATTTGGGTATTTTCACTCGAATCCTGATCTTTTTCTAACCGTAACCACAGCATTGTTGAAATGTAAAGTTTAAATGTATTTAAATGCCAACATTTATTGAGGTGACTGAGTTGGATGATGAGGTGACTAGTGAGCTAATGATGAACTGTGTGTGAGGATCTCTGCACAGTTTGTGGGCTTCATATGTAGAGCCATGCATCTCTGGTGCGACCCAGGAACTCTGTGACATACGTCCTGAAATGTGACCAACATGCAACAGCAGAAAAAGTCGGCATCTGGAAGTGTGAGGCCTGAAAGGATCCAGCTGAAGAAGCAGCGATGCAGCACTGAGAGCTGTGGAGCTTTTTTTTTTTTTTTTTGGTTTGGTGGTCTGAAAGCATTTGACCTACTTATTTTTATTGGAGTTTAATGGAGCTTTGAGGAGGCGACAGGCAGAGAGCAGCGAGTGGATCGAGGTGAAGGAGGGGTCGACTGACACAGTGGAAGGGATTTAAACACACACACGGGCATGGATGTATGTCGATGAAGGCTTTATGGTGTGTACATGCACTGATTTAAGTGTATTAACATGCGGACAGATGTAGAGAGACAGAGGGAGCTGGGCAGTGATCCAGTCAGGTCTAACATCTGTCTGTCACACTGACATGCAGTGTGAGATCAGCAGTGATTCTTTAGAGAATAAAACATGCACAGAGACAGAGAGACAACTGGTGGACATGTGTACTGAAAAAACAGCACGGTAAAGAGCAGCATTTTGGAAACTCTAACACTTTTTAAGAGTGCTTTGATGATGATGATGTTGCTGTTGTCAGTGAAAAGCAGGACTCCTTGATCCCTAAGTGTGTGCTCACCAACACATGTTTTTGTCTCGCTGACAAAAGCTTCTCTTGCAGTTTTCAGCAGCTCTTTCTCTGCAGGAAATGACGTATGAAAAAGCTTTTTAAAATCTTTCTCACTGCAGTTGGTTCTCTTCTGAAGAGGGGGCTGCAGCCCATCAGTCACTGAGGACCATTTGCTTTTAGTGTATGGTGTTGAGCAGCAGCTTCCTGTGAGCTAATCCTCTGCAATCTGCTCCCCATCTCTTTAAAACAACCCAAAAGTTTGTTACGACTCACCACCACAGGGTTGTAGGGTACACTGGAGTGTTAAAATGTGTTTGTCTTGTTGTGTTATTGGGAGCCAGAATAGAAGGAGTCATGGCTCAAAACCAGCCGCCACTGCCCGTCAACAAAAACAAAGACAACTATGGTTAAATGTGATAAGACCAAAGGACTGGACGGAGGCCATCATCAAAAATGCTCACATGTGCAGCGCACACTTCATATCAGGTTAGGGAAAAAGTATTTCCTGTTGTAGGGATGAATAAGGTTATGTGTATTAAGGGTTATCATGTCCACCTCATCAGAAACTGGGGAGGGATTAAGAGGAAGATTGGATTTCTCTGCAACGCTAACTTTTTAGCACATTAGCTAACGTTAGCTTCCATAGCAAAACAAACAAGTGTGGTCCTCCTTTGTAAGATTGGCTTCCTGTGACATCATCCGGAGCGTTATATTTCTACATGAATGAACCAACGGTTAAGTTAATCACACATTCACTCCGTGTGTGGAGAACTGTTTTGCCTCTAGCTAAGCCCCGCCCACTGAAAAACATCATACTGTTTACTAACAGTCAACGCGATAATGTCGCAGCCGTGCAATATGCAGTCACAGAACTTTACAGGTGTGTAGATGAGATGAAAATGACGGTTGAGTTTGAAGATGGGTCACTTACTGCATGAGCTGTGTGCAACCTGCTGCACTGGTTTTGACTTTGTCGTTTCTACATTTGCAGCATTTGCTGTTAATGCATTTCTTTTGGGTTTCTGCAGCATGTTTCTGTTGTTGTATTTGTTCTGCATTTCCATATGTGTTTTTGAATTGGCATCACATCTGAAGCTGCAGCATGTTTCTCCTGATGGAAACATTTTGGGCCGTTGTAGCACATTTGGCCTTGGTGGCCACCGTATTTATGCTGTTTGAGAACAATGTGAATGTGTGGAAACATTTTAAAAACTGATGTGAATGTTTTTCATTTGGTGTCGAACAAGAATCAAAAAATCATCCAGAGTCAAAATCCACAGCTTCATGTCAGAATCAAAATGTAATGCAGTAACACACACACACATACACACACACACACTGAAGCCAAACATCTGTCCAACAGTTTGAGGAGGCTCTATGTGTGTGTGTGTGTGTGTGTGTGTGTGTGTGTGTCTTCTGCTCCATAAAGCAGAGCTCTCAGCACCTCCACTCTCCTCGCTCTCCTTCTACTTTACTTCATTTTATGTTTCCACTAAAACAAAGTTTCTCTCAACATAAAACGGACGTTTCACACGTCTTCACACGTCTTCACTCACTGTCGGACCAAAACTCGCCTGTTTATCAGGAGCAGACAAAAGAAAAATGTACATTTTTCAAACTGACGTGTGTGTGTGTTGAAGCTTCACAGCAGGATGTTTCAGCATTAAAACTCACGCAGGATAAAGTCCTGCTGGCGTCTCCGTACAGGCCGCAGAACGAACACACTGATGCTTTAATTTTCTTAGAGCTAGAGGAAAGGTTGTGGAGGCGTTACGATCTAAAGGGTTCATCTTCTGGGGAGCAGGAATATTCAGATTTAATGACATGACAAGAACATGAAAGAACGTGTTGGATGTCCAAGTCTGTATCAGATAAAGCTGTGAGGTGACATGAGCACAGCGCATATAATGAATGTTGGGTTGGCGTTCACTTTCACTTTCGTTGGCAACACTGTTTAAAAATGGTAACAGACACTTCCTGCATAATCTACCTTTAACCCGAAAACAAATTCAGTTCAGATGAACTGAATCTAACTCCACTTACTTGGGGTAGTTCATGCAGTAGAGTGTGTAGATGTCGAAGGCTTCACTCTGAAAAAAGATGGGAGAACAAACGTTAGAGAGGATGAACGGACAGACCATCATCTTCATTCATCATCCTTCACTTCATGAGTTAGATAAAGAGTCTCTAACAGTCTGCATGAACAAATTCATCCAACTGTCTAAGTATCTTTTTGTCCACTGTCTTTATCGTAAATGGATTGTGGGTCGTTTAGCTCGGGATATTTCTCGACCTCAACAACGAGTCTCTCCTCATCTTATGTCTCCGCATCAGCTACACAGGTCTCTTTATACATCCATGGTGAGGAGAGGAGTCAAGCTGCTGTAGGAGCAGAGAGGAAGGAGCTGCTACAGGGGCTGCTGTGTACAAGCAGAGAGCGAGTGGGGGGAAAATGCATTTAATTCAGTGGTCAGCATGGCTGGAAATAGGACAGTGGCATCAAGTGCCATGAGGCGGCGTGTCCAAGAGCGCAAATGCATGTCTATCCAGTGTGGGGGTTGTACACTGAAAATAATAGGGGTGTATTTTTTGATGCCTGGCGTTCACCAGCCGGTGTGTTATGGCCTTAGGCTGGAAGACAAAGCTCTCCGTTTACTGGTATGTCCACAATCCAACTCTCACCTATGGTCATGAGCTTTGAGTAGTGATTGAAAGAATGAGGCAGCAGATGAAAGCGGTCGAAATGAGTTTCCTCTGTAAGGTGTCTGGGCTCAGCCTTAGAGATAGGGCGAGGAGCACAGACTCGGAGTAGAGCCGCTGCTCCTTCGTGTTGAAAGGGGCCGGTTGAGGTGGATCAACATCTGATCAGGATCCTCCTGGGCGCCTCCTGTTAGAGGTTTTCAGGACGTCCAACTGGTAGGAGGCCCCGGGGCAGACCCAGAACACACCAGAGAAATTGCTTATCTCGTCTGGTCTAGGAACGTCTCGGGATCCTCCAGGAGGAGCTGGAAAGTGTCGCTGGGTAGAGGGATGTCTGGAGTACCTTGCTCACCATGGATGGTTGGATGGAGGCTTTATGATTGGTGATGAATTCTGGTCCCTAAAATATCTTACAGCCCTTCTTTCTCCTCCTCCTTTACAGTCCAGAGATCTCAAACTGTGTCAGATCTTTTTCTCATGTACAAAAACATAAAACCCCAAAGGTCAGCTGTGAGTCACATTTATGTCCCTCCTCTCTCCTTCCTCTTAACTATTAAAATACCAGAAAGACAGCTGATGTGAGTTAAACTCTCCATCTTTTCCCACATCTGAAAATATGTCCTCATCCATCTGACATACAAAACAGAGGAACATCAGATGTGACTTAAATTAACTCCATCACTTCCTAAGATTCCTCAAAATATGTTCCAGTTAATCTTCACATGAATCACAATCTCTCCCCTCGACTTACATGTGACGCCTGTAGCTGCTTTCTATGTGCAGTATCACCACAGATGAGTCTGAAACAACGTCAAGGTTTAATGGAAAGACTGGGGACATGTCTCTCTGACATCACTTTCTGTGCATCAGTGAGTCAGGAGGTCACAGAGAAAGACAGCACTGTGTTAAACACTGAACACACACACAGGTCTTAAAATAACTCTGGTCGTCTTTCTAACAGTTTAATCTAATGTCCACTGCTCTGACACAGACAGGAAGTTCACTTTAGTTCCAGTCTGAAAAAAACATCACATCTCCTGAAGCTCACATATACATTACTTACAAAAACATTTTAAAGCTTCAGATTCCTCTAAGTCCTCAAAAATCCAGCACACAGTCAGGTCAATTTAGAAAATACGCCACTGAAAAAAATTATTATCAGGACTCATCCCGTTACACTGAATTTGTGGAGAAAACTTCCAATCCAAAAACACTTTTCATGAATTTAAATAAACGGCGTCCGCGTTTAACAACAGTAAAATTAGATCAAAACATCTGTTAACACAACATCATCCTCACTGCGACCTCGTCCACGTTTGGTCATGGACTTTCCACGTCCACATATGACGTCCAAGGTACCCTGGGTGTGTTGGTTGTTGACATTCTGGGACGCCATGTCAACTTCAGCCTGTTACATGCATTGTCTGTTTTCAAAATACACTTCTGTTTTCACAGGAAATGTACAGTTTGCATATAGTCTCTTTCAAAATAAAAGCACAATGTCAGTACAACAACACAAATTGATGTTTTTTTTCCTTCAACAACAAACATACGTGGTTGGGTTTAGGGAAAAAAGACTTGGCTTAACATTCATATGGGAGGCAAACACCAACCTATCAGGTGGAAGTTAGATTATTGCCCAGCTGCATTTCCCCTTGTCACACAGAATAACAGCGACTGACTGCATATCATGCCAATGTGAAGCGACGGCTTTATTCATCAGTGTTTGATGCCGTAACTCACTGACTAAGCGGCAGTAATCGACAACTTTGAAGTGAGACCTGGTTGGTTTACAAACTCTTACACAACTCATGCAGTATAATCGTCACAGCCAAAAACATGCTTTGTGAAGTCACACTGACCTTTGACCTTCAACCACATAATTTCATAGTTTATTCTTCAGTCAAGTGGACTTGAATGCACAAAAGCAAAGTTTTCTTTACCAATTAAATGTAAGGTGGAGTGACTGACATACAAATGGTGGTTTTGTGGGTGAAGTCGTCCCCGGAAGTGTCATGGCGTCATTATCAGTATTCATAATCAATATGGCTAATCCTCAGTGTGTTTAACGTCAGTCTTCATGTTAGATTTCAATCTTTCTTTGACACAGTTTTGACTTGAGGTCACAGTCCTGAGGCCTGCAGTCAGCTGCTCAGGGAACATTTTCACACTGTGTGTCTCTGCGCTGTAACATGAGAGAACAATATCACTACTGTCCAACACACACACACACACACACACACAGACAACATGTATTCATGGGGTGTTGGTTTGATCAGCAGCAGTAGTGTGTGTGATTCTATGTGTGCTGCAGTGAATGGAGGGTCCAGATCTACTGGTGGTTTACTGGGTGTGTGGGGTTCACTGTGTCATGTTTCCTGTCAACTAACAGCCTCACACACACACGCACACACACACACGGCTGTACTGTACTCACCCGTTCCACGAAGCACTCTGCGATGGCGGCAGCATGAGGACTCCTCTCTAAATCCTCCAGGAGATCACTGAGGAGACAGACAGACAAATTCAAGTCTTTGACCTGTCAGTGCTGGAAGCCACAGTACATGGCCAGAAGTCTGTAGACACCTGAGCATGTGACAGCTGAGCATATGAGTCTGACACCATTTCATGTCACATTTGCATGTTTCATATGTTTCATATCAACGTTTCTAAAGTGACGTAGTATGTTAGCTGACTTTGATGATGTGACAGGCGAGACACCTGCCGAGCCCCAGACCACTGTTTGAGACCAACAAACAACAAAACCCGTTGTGTTTTATTGAGTCATTGCTGTGTATCTAACAGCTTTTTAGTCACCAAATGCAGGTATTTTGTTGCACAACTTCGTTGGTTTTCCTGCAGTGACAGAGCCATGGAAAGCGGTTGTTGTTTACTGACACATCCCTGCCTTTTCTGCCCCTATAGTGGCTCAAAACGCAAGTATTTTAAAGGGATAGTGCACCCAAAAATGAAAGTTCAGCCATTATCTACTCACCCATTTGCCGAGGGAGGCTCAGGTGAAGTTTTAGAGTCCTCACATCACTTGCAGAGATCCAAGGGGAGAGGAGGTAGCAACACAACTCCACCTAATGGAGGCTGACGGCGCCCCAGATTCAAACGTCCAAAAACACATAATTGAAACCACAAAATATCTCCATACTGCTCGTCCGTAGTGATCCAAGTGTCCCGAAGCCCCGACATAAAAAGTTGTTTGGAAAGACCTCATTTGAACTCTGTTTTTAGCCTCATTGTAGCACTCTAAAACTTCACCTAAACCTCCATCGGCATATGGGTGAGTAGATAATGGCTGAATTTTCATTTTTGGGTGCACTATCCCTTTAAGGGTATTGCCAAAGCATGCTCACTTCAACCTCGTCACATATCAACATTTGGTCATGGACTTTCCACATTGAGATATGACGTGCAAGTCGTAGGCTCTATCGTAGGCAACTGGACTTGCTTGAGTTGTTCTTTGTTGTTGTTGTTCTTCTTCTGTCCAGAACTAAAGAAGCCCCTGGGTAAAAGGTGAAATGTCTTCAAGAAACTCAAGCAAGTCCAGTTGCCTACGATAAAGCAATTGATATTACCATGACCTAGATGACTGGAGAATCTTGACCAACATGACGTGCAAGGTACCCTGGGTTATTTCAACAACAAACGTATGTGGTTGGGTTTAGGAAAAAAGAACAAAGTTTGACTTAACAATCTTACAGGAAGTGAACACCGGCCTCCTGGGTGAAAGTCAGTAGTTGTTGGACCCTTTGACCATGCCTCCTGCCCGCCTTACTCTGACTTCCACCACCTTAAAGGGAAATTTCGGTTTATTTCAACCCGTCTCCTATCGTCCTAAATTTGTTTCAAGTGACTAGTGACATAAAAATAATAGTTAGCAATGTTAGCCGTTAGCCTAGATACAGCCCGGGTGCATAGTAGCATCAGACCTGTTAAAACGTAAGTGAACGAGCAACCTTCAAGTGCAAAGTTAGTCCACTAAACAAGCTTTTTTCCCACAAAGACCGCCTCATATCGTTAGGATAAATGTCAGAGAACATATAGAAAACGACATGTAAACGTGTTGTCTTACCTTACCGGTGTGCTGCCATGTTTGTTTACCATTTAGCTCTGCTTTCCAAAGCGCGGCCGAAACATTGCGAGAACAAGCAGCGATCTCATACCGTGCCTGAAATCTCGCGAGAACAAGCAGTTCAGCAGTAGCCTGAAAAGTTCATTCATTTATTTTATGAAAGATTTATAGAATAATGGCTGACTTTTTGCTTTGTGGAGGAGGAATTTGATTTTGCAGAGTTTGATGGCCGCCCTTATTTATTTGAGCCAGAATACACTGACGAAGAGCTTCGTGAAATTGAAGAACGGAGGAGGAGAGAGAGAGAGGTGCAACAGGTAGAGGACGAGAGAGGAGGAATGGCTGCTGCAAGGCTGCGTAGCTCTGGAGATTGGTGGTGTACCTGTGAATGCTGTGCCCCAGTGCCCACAGAAGAGGAATGCCTCTGTTGCAAGGAATGGGACCGGTTGCAGCCTTATTTTCAAGGTCTGGATGTGACCGAGGACGAGACACCTCCACCTGGAGTAGTATCCAGCTGGGCTTTATCTAGAGCTCGCGAGATGTCGTTTTCTATATGTTCTCTGACATTTATCCTAACGATATGAGGCGGTCTTTGTGGAAAAAAAGCTTGTTTAGTGGACTAACTTTGCACTTGAAGGTTGCCCGTTCACTTACGTTTTAACAGGTCTGACGCTACTATGCGCCCCTGCTGTATCTAGGCTAACGGCTAACATGCTAACTATTATTTTTATGTCACTAGTCACTTGAAACAAATTTAGGACAATAGGAGACAGGTTGAAATAAACCGAAATTTCCCTTTAACTGTCATTGTTGTCCACCACATTTCCCCCTGGTGCTGCTGTTAAACAATAACAGCGACCAACTGTGCATCATACCGATGTGAAAGGACGGCTTTTTCGTTGGTGTATGACGCTGGAAGTCACTGAGTAAGCACAGGTTTTTGACAACTTCTGAGTGAGACCTGGTTTGTATTTCTCAACGAATGTCAGCTGGGTTTGAGCCGCCCAGTGACCCTGAACAAGACAAGTGGTTACAGATAATGAATAAATAAATGATCTCAATGAGTTCCACACAGTGAGGCATACACAGTTTAAATCTGCCATCTGTATCAACAGATATCCGGAGTTAAGGGCAACAAAAGTTGGACTGGTGCGTCCATAATTACAGTAAATACATCCTGTGCCTGCATCTTCTCATGTTGGGTCTTGCAGGACCTGCAGGATCCCTGTTTGGACCACACTGACAACTACAGATAGAAAACAGCATAAACAGGTCATAATTCTCCCACAGAGCTTCATAAAACGCTGGTTCACAGCCAGATTGCTTTGCTGGGAGCACTGGAAAACATTTAACACTGTAACAAGTAACAATGCCATCGCAGTTGTTGTGCAGTTCAGTCAGAGTGAGAACAGTCTGAAGGGTTAGTGTGACACCAAACTGACTCCAGAACCTGCAGACTGTTACAGCTGGCAGACGTTCATCCTGAAAACTCTCCCTCCGTTCCCACAATTCATCCCCATCGTCATCCCTCCATCCTGCCAAGTCCCAAATTCTGCTGCAGCACACACACACACACACGCACACAGATAAAACCAATTTCCACAAATCATTTCTTTATCGCTCCATCTTAATTCACTTGTATCCATCCATCTCTCTGTTTCAGCCAGGACTTGTCACACACACACTCATGCACCGCACACACACATTATACACACTCACAAAAAGATATTTACATACTAGAAAACATCCAAATCACTTTTGTGCGTGACTGTGTGTTTGCATCAGTAACCTCAGAAAACTTTCAACAAGCTGACGTTCAGCATCCAAAGCGAAGCGAGAACCTTTGACCTGCTGGATGTTTCTGTCTGAACTCTAACCCGGATCACAGTCGGGATTCAAGCCCCGCCCTCTGACCTCTGAGCCCACTGCAGAGAGAGTTTTGCATGTTCACATGTTCATAATGTTCTGGTCTTTATGTGTATCACAGTAACATCTGTAACATCTGCTCATTTACTGGTTAATGAGGACATGAAACACGGAGCAGAACATGGTCTCTATTAGATCAACATACAGGGAGAATCAGGGATAAACAGTTGTTCTCCTGCTGTGGAAACTAAATCATCTGAACAAACTAGATCATACAGACAACTGATGATGAGCGCCAGACTTGGAAAGTTACAGAGATGATCCAACAAAGCCCCCCAAGGGTTCTGCTGTCAGAGAGAAGATTAAAGATCCTGTTCGATGATCCAAAATGCTCTTTGTCTGAAGCATACAGAGGCATTAACGTTACACTGTTATTACAGGAGATGAAGGAGCTGAGCCAAAAGGCAAAGCTTTCGATTCATCGGTCCATCTCCGTCCCAGCCCTCACCTACGATCATACACTCTGGGTAGCGACTGAAAGAATGAGATCACAAATGCAAGCAGATGAAATGAGTTTCCGCTGTGGTGTGTCTGGACTCAGCCTTAAGGCCCTGACACACCAAGCCGACAGTCGGCCTGTCGACCAAAGTCGGGCCGTCGACGAGCGTCTGTTGCCCTAGTTTTTGTGGTGCGTCCGGCGTCGGCGGCTTTTCAGCCGATTGAGCATGTTGAATCGGCGGCAGAGCTTGTCGGTGAGAGAGATCACTCTGATTGGCTGTTCAGGTTTTATTTCCTCGCCGCTGTAGTGAGTGAATCTGCCTGTAGTGAAACCAGGGCTAACCGGTGCTTCCTCCTCAGGCTCCACTTCACTCAGCTGCCCACAGACCCGCTGCTTCTTCACACTTTAACCTGAATAACAAACCGGAGCTAGCTGGGAGCGGCTAGCGGAGCGTTAGCCGCAGCATGACCGGAGGGAAGCACAGCCAGTTAGCCTCCGCTAGTCTCTGAGCTAGCCCCGGCTCTCCGTTTGGATCCAACCGGAGCACCGAGCCCTGGTTTGTTATTCAGGTTAAAGTGGGAAGAAGCAGCGGGTTTATCGGGCAGCTGAGTGAAGTGGAGCCTGCGGAGGAAACACCGGGACCGTCTGGATGTAATAGTCCGTGGAGGTGCTGCGGTGCTCGGCTGCACAGATAGGAAACCCCTCGGCTGACAGGATGTACCACTCTCTCACTCCGCTCTCTCTCACGCAGGCGCAGAACGTACGTGCTACTTGGCCGTCGGATGTAGTCCGTGTGGTGTGTTCAAATGCAACTGACACAGGGCGACGTGAGGCGACGTAGACGACGCAACAGTTGGCTTTCGTCGCCGCTAGTTCTTTGATGTCGGGTTGGTGTGTCCGCACCTTTAGAGATAGAGGGAGGAGCTCGGAGTAGAGCTGCTGCTCCTTTGTGAAAGGGGTCCGTTGAGGTGGTTCAGGCATCTGATGAGGATCCTCCTTGGCGCCTCCTGTTAGAGGTGTTCTGGGCATGTCTCACTAGTGGGAGGCCCCGGGGC